ATGTCAAATGTGGGACCTCTACCCCAGCACCTTTGTTGAAAGATCTGACTCTGTAAGAAAGAAATGTTTTGTGGTCCAAAAAAATAAAACAGCAGGTACTGAAAACAGACAGAGCCACGATGGGGCACAGAAACATTCCCAAGTTCTATTTGTCATGTTTTATTTGCCTCTTCACATAAGGAAAAAATAACAGTCTGTCTCATGTAAGGGAGTGATCTCCTCTTCCATTAGTTTCTTTGATCCCCAGTTCTATTTGTCATGTTTTATTTGTCTCTTCACATAAGGAAAAATAACACAGTCTGTCTCATGTAAGGGAGTGATCTCCTCTTCCAGTAGTTTCTTTGATCCCTTTCAGGGTACTGAGATTATTCCACTGCTGACCTCTGCACTGAATGATGAGTTACACTGGAAAACCCCAGATCAGTTCAACCCTTCCCATTTCCTTGATGCCAATGGGAACTTCATTAGGAGAGAAGCATTTATTCCATTCTCCATAGGTAAGAGGAGTGTGGGTGCAAGGCTAATGCAGTTCCCCCTGATGTCAGGAAAGTATGAAAGCCAGGAACACAGGGTAAAGGATTTCTGGTCATTTCTCCTATCCACCATTGCTGTAGGTAACCACCTTTTCTTTGGGAGAGATGGGAGACAAGGATTTACTCACAGTCACTGAACAATTTCATATATCTACAGACTTCTGTGTAGTTTGAGACCAAATCAGTAGCACCTCTAATGTACAGAGAGAAGGAAGGGAAAATTTCCTACCTCAGCAGCCTGCTCTTCCAGACTGTACCTCCTGTTTAGAAGGTCTCAGACATCAACACTAACAGTTACAGTGCTGATCATTGACTTCTCCCCTGGTTGTTTTCAGGACGAAGGGCTTGCCTTGGTGAAGGACTGGCCAGAATGGAGCTGTTCCTCTTCTTTTCGGGCTTGCTCCGCAAATTTGTTTTCCAGCCTCCTCCAGGAGTGGAGAAGTCAGACCTGGATCTCACTGCTGATGTCGGCTTTACCTTGACCCCCATGCCTCACCTGGTTTGTGCCGTGCCTTGTGAATGATCAAACAACACAGCATTAGAGTAGAGAACACTTCAAGCTTTAAAGCAAATCTAGCTACAGTGGGGGAAAGCTGTCCCTGAGCTTTAGGGGAAGGAAGACACCAGGCACTGTTATTTTATTTTCTCTCATTCGTGACATCCTCTCCAACAGCTCTTGCAATGTCTGTATAATGCAAACCCTTCAGACGGCTCTGAGTTCTGCTCTCAGAAAGTGTGATTCATTCCTGGAACAGCACATCAGAGATGCTGTTTTCAGGCCAGTTGGAAAGAGTGAAATGTCTTCAGACCTCCTCTGTAGATGTGACCCATCAGAGCTCTACCCTGGCAGGCTCTATGGGGAATTTCTCAGCCCAAAGTCCAAGCCCTATAGCAGAGCTGATTATAAATGGCCCAGCTGGAGACAAGAGACACGCAAAGGATCTGGAAATCTCCTCAGGATGATTGTTCAGCTGAGCCTCAGACTGAGCTTCCATTGTGTGATACAACCTGCCTTATCTTTATTACAGAGTCCCAGACACAAGGGTGTAACACGGGCTGATGCCAAGACCCAGGCACGGGACAGTTATCAGAAAACATCTAAGTGGTTTGGGAAATGGGTTCTTTCCACCTCACACCAGGCACTTCATGCTGAACAGCCCATTTATGATGGGGCTAATTGAGCAGCTTTCTGCTTCTGCTAAGAAAGGTATTTCTACCACTCCCTCACCTCTCCTGGCTTCATGCTGGCTCTGGCACTCATCCAATCCCTTACTGGGCCATCTTAGATCCCTAACCTGGCAGAAAATGAGCAGCCATGGGAAGGGAAGAGTTTCAGAATCAGCGTGGCTGAAGCGATAGCAGCCTGCGGCAGTGTGAGAGCAGTGGAGCTGGGCTGGGCAGGGACTGCCACGCTCCAGCAGAGAGCTGGGAGAGGCTCAGCCCCCTGCTCCCTGCTCCACTTGCACCTCAGGGGCTGTAGTTGCTCTGTAGATCTTCTCTACTCTTCAGAGAGAAAGCATCCTTCAGGGGATGAATAGCTGCCATAAGGTTTTCATTTCTCACTCTCTGCACTGACTGCATGGTGAACTATCATCCACAGGCTCCTAATTCCAAACTTACCAGGTGTGTTGTGATGAATAGGGACAGTATTGTCCATTCAACTGAAAATGGGGCAGTTATGGTAAACCTACAACATAAAACTAAAGTTACTGTTGTTTAAAGCTGAGCTGGAAGGAAATGGAAGGAAAGAAAGGAGAAAGAATATGAAGGGATGACAAAGTACGGCAGCCTCTGACCAAGACACTGACTCTCCTCACTAGCCTTAGTTCACACAACTAAAGGCAGCACTCTCCCAGTGATTCTGCACCTTCTACTTGTGCTGGTGTTGCACTTGGTCAGGGCCCATACCACAGACCCAGCTCCAGCTCCTGGGCTCAGCTCGGGGAGTGCTCTGCAACAAGGAAGCCTCTGCTGCTGCGCTTGCTTGCGTTTGTTTCGCTGTCGCTCTATTTGCAGTCTAGCTACTGCAAGCCTGACCTTATCACCCACTTAATCATTAAATATTTTGTTCTGTTGCTGTTGATCTATCTGGTGTGACAGTATGCAGTTGATTTCAGGTCAAACTGATAAAGCTGGGCTGCACCACCTTCAATAGTGCCTCATGAGAGAGGTGAGCACAGGGATCCGTGGGCAGCCTGCAGCCAGGACAAGTTCAGCAGCACAAAGACTGACGATACTGACAGCCATAAACACCTCAAAGGAAATAGCTGGATTTCTAACTCCAGAAAATCCCAGCTGCTGTGTGAGGCAGGACTCTGCAAGGCTCTCTGATGTGGCCCCTTTCCGTGGTTCCTGTGTCCCTTGCCCTTGCTTACAAGGAACCCATGACAGTAAAAGCCAGCAGGAATTATCCAATGCTGCAGTCTGAGGTGCACTGCTGGTCAAGAATGGGACTGGCATGGGAGGTGCAGAGATTTTGGGGCATTTAAGTTGATGCAGGGCCGGTGTTTTAGTGGCCCAGGCTGGCTGACTGGCAGTGGTGTGGTTGCCTTTAGGTGGCCGACACCCAACGTTCCACATCCCCACCAGGACCACTAGTCACAAGCAGTGGCAGAATGCCACACGGGCACAAGGGATGGAAGACAACTGGGCCACAAGCACCTAGAGGGGCCTGGCTGCCCCAGGAATGCACCCAGAGCAATGTCAGTGCCTGGCAGGTGTTTTGTGCTCGGCTCTGTGTGCTCAGGCAGGGCAGCACGTAGCTCCGGAGCGAAACACAAAACACGTACCAGACACATCAGTGAGACAGGAATTTCTTGTCATCGCAAGACTTTTACTTACCTTTGTCATTTTAATGCATTGCACTCAGAGCCTGGCTCGAAAAAAACCACAATACACTCCCCCTGGCTTTTCAGAGATAATTTAAGTCTCTTTCTGAAAGGCCTTTTTATGAGTTCAGAGGCTCCCAGGGCAAGGTGAAACACCAGGAGAGGAGCAGCAGCAACACGTAACTTTTGCCCTGCAGGCTGCTGCTGGTCCAAGAAAACCCTGCAGGAACAAACATTTTGCCCAGGCACAGAGCATGTGCCATTGCAAGTTCTCATCGCAGTGCCCACGTTGTGCATCCTGTGCCAGCCATGTTCCTTCCTGCCTGCCTTTACAGCCCCTGTGTCTCAGCTCATGGAGCAGGCAGGGCTGAGTCATCCTAGGCATGCTCTGGGGGAAACCATTGCCTCCAGCCCATTTCTTGGAAACTAATAAAAAAATAAATCTCAGAAATGTTGCGACACACTTGCTGCTCCAGCTTCTGGGTGGCTGCTGTGCTGCAACATCTCCTCACCACACAGGCAGCTCCGGTGAGTGCCCAGCAGCCGTTCGCTCCGGGACCCTGCTGACCATGCCCCACTCTGGGTCAGATCCACCTCCTTCCTTGCCTTCTTTGCATTTACAAGGCTAAGGACCCATATTTGCTGAATAATGGCCTTTATATGATCTAACCTTTGGACAAATGTACCTTTAGCCTTGTGTTTCCTCATCATATAAGACAGCCCTTTCTTCCCTGAATGACCGTATTCCTTTGGCTGGTTATGCCAAACTTCCTCCTGAAAACCACTATTCAACCAGGTAACCTCAATTATTTTCTACAAGGTTTAAGCCTTGATAAGGGATGCAAGCTCCAGGTGTTTAGTATTTTTGACTTAAAATCATTCCATTCTCCTGTCTTGTTCCCTTTCTGGAGCCTGCCAGGTCAGATGGCTTCATTAAATTCGTTAACTTCTTCCCTCTATCCCTTAGAAGCTGCTCTCACAAAATGAAGTCCTCCCAGAAGTTTCAAATCTAATTTTGTCTTTCCATTGCACTCATGAATCCACTCATGATCACTTGATCCAAGCTAATTTTCTGTGGCTAGCTATTACATGTCTTCTACCTCAGACACAAAGTCTGAAATCACATCCCTCCCGGGCAGTTCAGAGCTGACTTTATGAAGAAGTTTATGGGCTACAACCCCCCAGGGATAATTGGGCTTTACCATTATTAACAACCTTTGATCTCCACTTGACATCAAGAGAGCCAAAGTCTCCTGTAAAAGTACTGGTATTTTTCTCTAGTAACACGGAGATCTCAAATCCTACCTAAGCCTGAATCTGGAGGTTCTAATAGGATTCCAAGAGTCTTTTTATTTCCCTGTGTCAGCAGAGTGCTAGGAGGGTCATAGTACTGCTAATGAAGGACCTTGAGGTCTCAGGGAGGAGGAGGTTAGCGAGGAATGCCAAGCACCTTTTCCCATGTATATGTTCTTGCACACACATGCATGGGTTTGTAATTTGAAACTCTCTTTACTTCTGGACAGGCTTTGCAAACTGCTTAGACCACATTCTCTGAGGTGTTTAAAGAGGGTGGAGTATGCAGTATTTATTTAGGTACTCTACAAACCTTAATAAGAATTGAGTGCTTGTAGCAATTGCAGAGAGCAAACAGAGAGCCAGCTGGCAGAAACTGAACAGTGCCACTGCATTTTTATTGCTTCTAACCCCAAAAACCAGATTATTACTTAAAAAAAAAAATGTCTTTTTTAATTTCATTTCTCTCTGATCCTGCATTAGTTTGTCTGCTGTGTGCAGCAATATTATTAGCTGTAGCCTATTTTTCAACTGGCTATAAAAATTCAGCTTTTAAATTACCTCCTGGTCCAACTCCTCTTCCGATCATTGGTAACCTGCACTTGGTGGATCTTAGAAGGCAAGATAAATCACTAATGAAGGTAGGACAAAAACCCCTAACCCAGACCCTCATGGATTTTAAAGCTGCCTGGGATGTTTCAGTGAGAACTTTTTGTCTTTTTTAATTCAAACTAAATTGTAAAGGTGTGAAAATTGCTTTATGATATCTTTCTGGGCTTCTTCTAGTCAATGTCTGTGTTGATGCAATGTAATTTAGGAGCAATCAACCATTAAAAAAAGACCTGTGGGTAATATGGGATTTCTTCATGTAATTGTGATGATGTACATGAAGTCTATAATGCTTGTGGGATTTGAAATATTAATTTGACAGCTTGGACACCCAGAAATCTTTTAAAGCATTAGGATACAACTAACATAAATTAAATTGCTTCCCTCCCCTATGCCCCGGAGATGTGGCAAAGAGGAATTCCACAATGCAGTGACCCCAAAACTGCCGCGGAGAGGGCCAAGTCCAGACGCTCCATCGCAAAATCCCTTTCCCTCTTGATGAATGGGCACGCATTAAAGTCTAGATGGCAGTGCAAGGGAGAGACGGCAAAGCTGTGCTAAGGAGCAGAGTGAAAAACCTGTGAGCTCTTCCACTAAGCTGTAATTAAGAAAACTTACCCCACTGCGTGCAGGACGAGGCTGCTCCTGGGGCTGCCGGGCATTCCCGCCTGGTTTTAGGGGATGGTTCCCTTGGGGATGGCTCCAGTGGGGATGGCTCCATTGGGGATGGCTCCACTGGGGATGGATTCACTGGGGATGGCTCCATTGGGGATGGCTCCATTGGGGATGGCTTCACTGGGGATGGCTTCACTGGGGATGGCTCCATTGGGGATGGTTCCATTGGGGATGGTTCCCTCAGGGATGGCTCCCTCAGGGATGGTACCCGCAGGGATGGCTCCCTCAGGGATAGTTCCCTTGGGGATGGCTCTCTCGGGGTGGCTCTCTCAGGGGTGGCTCCATCAGGGATGGCTCCCTCGGGGATGGCTCCCTTGGGGATGGTTCCCTCAGGGCTGACCCATGCTGGGGTCACGGAGAGAGTGAGCAAACAGGCAGGGGGGTTCACAGCCAGGTGTCCACGGCTCCTGTGACAGCCGTGCTCAGCAAACACGGGCTGTGCTGCCACGGGGCGAGGCCCCAGCACCTGGAGCTGTTATGGGCAATGTCAGGGTTGGGGTCAGTTTACCCAGCAGGGCTGGGCAGACGCTGCTGCAGCCTCTGAACGGCGCTTTGGAATTACCTCCGCGTGCTTTTGTCCCCTGCTTGGCTGTGCTTGCTTTGCCTGTTTGCCTTGACTTTGGGATTACTCCAGAGGGGTTATCCCTTCATCTCACCCCACGGAGAGCAAAAAATGGTGTTTGCACAAAGCAGCTGGCACCGACTGGGATTTGTTGGGTGGGCAATGAGGAATACCCCCTTTGTCCTATGAAAGAGACACTGCTTCTCTCCCAGCAGGATGCAGAAGTGCTTTAGTACATCAGGAGCATCAGACCAAAGCTTTCCTCTATGACAGAATCATTGTTTGCACTGAACTATCTTCTCTTTTTTGGTCTTTCTCCAGTTTGCCAACTTTATCTGCCATTTGAGGTCCAGTCTTTAGATTTTTTTTTCCGTTGGTTTTTTTTTTGTTTGTTTGGTTTTTGTTTTTTTGGTTTTTTTTTTTTTTTTTTGTTTGTTGGTTTTTTGGGTTTTTTTGGGTTTTTGTTTTCCATTTATTTTCTCCTTAACAGCAAAGCCAGATTAGTGATGCACTGATGGGGATGGGGGCTCCTTCATGGCAAGAAGCCTGAATTCCATACAGATGCCAGCAAGGCACCTGTACAAAATGCATTGTGTTAGACCATGATGAGCTCACAAGTGCCCTTCTGCAGGTAGTGGCTCTGCAGACATTCCCTGCAGGATGCCAGGATGAAAAATGTCCTTTCAGACAGCACAAGGTGCTGTTCTGTGCACTCTCCCTCCCTTCCTGACCATCACAGCTTGCCTCTTTTTCCAGCTTGCAGAAAAATACGGCCCCATCTTCACCCTGCACTTTGGGTTCCAGAAAGTTGTGGTCCTGACCGGGTACGAAGTTGTGCGAGAGGCGCTTGTGAACTACACAGAGGAGTTTGTAGACAGACCATCCATCCCCATATTTGACCAAATTCAGAACAAAAACGGTACTAGAGCAATAACTGGGGGTGTGGGAGGGACAAGGCTGTCATTTATTGCCCATGATGATGATGATGATGATAATGATGATGATGATGATGAGGCACAGCCCAACTGTGCATCCCTGGAGCCCAGCTTTTAAACACGCCCTTGGGCCCTTCTGAAGCCAAGTGGCAGTGAATGTTTGCCTTTCCTTGCACACAGTGGCTCCTGGCTTTCCATCATTTCTGCTGATGCACTTGCAGCCCATCCATATCCAAAAAGCTGAGGGGTGGGAGGAGGCACTGTGGTAACTCTGGAGTTAATCTCTGTGCGATGTTGCTGTGAGCAGCTCACTGTCACCACTGGTTTATGAACCCTCCTCACGTTTCCAGGAGACTTTGGACTACCTGGCTTGGCTGTTGGGAGCTGTTGGGTTTTTCCCTTTCTCCCATTGCCTTTGTCATGTCAGTTCCCACACCTTTGCCTCCCCACAAAAGTTCTCAGGTAGTCCAGCCTGAAACAACTTCAGAAGCAAGAGGCTGAGGCTGGAAATTCACCCCCACAAACAATCCCATAGTTTTTCCACTCCTGACTATTTCAGAGGTCTTTTTGCTTTGTCCATCCTCTGCTTCATGTGAGGCTTTAGTGGGAGAACCAAAAGGCAGTTTTATATGTTTGTCATAGGCTGAAGTTGGAATTAGAATTAGAAATAAAATTACCCAGCCATAATATCAATAGATGATGAATTTATCACTACATAAATAAAAGGAATTTATGAGGAGAAAGGTATTTTTTAGAGCTAATTTACATGTAAAACATCCCTGTGGGAGAATATCAGTATTGCATCATAAGTCCTTTCACATTTACCTTCTCAGCCCAAGTCTGAGGCACTTAGAGTGACCCAAAGATGGGAGCTCTCAGGGGCTCTTAAGCAACAATGGTCACAAATTTACCCATGAAACATTTTTTCTTCAGAAAATGCCAATTTGTTGACTTTGTGAAGATGGTCTCAGAAAAGGAATGATCCAGATGAAATTACATAAATTAAAGAAAAATTAAAAATTGAAGTCTAGAAATTTGCTCAGACATTCTTAGAGCAAAAAGTTTTGTTACCCAAATTAAAATTACACTGCTTTAAAACAGAAAAGCAAACATATTTAAAAGCCTCACAGCCACGATGAAGACATGAAATGCTGGCATCCAGCTTTTCAACTGACCACAATCTGAGATAGTTTTTGGATTATTGACCCAACTTTTTCTTTACAGCACTCTGACAGGATGAAATACCCATCCCTGCTTGGAGGTGCTAGAGATCATCGTGGCATGAGCTCAGAAACCTCCACAAAAATGTCAGTATTTTCACCACTGCTGAAAATACAGCATTGCTGGGAATTCAGGGTTGAGGAGACTGAATTATCCCATCTCACATAGATAAATTACCTTTATGACTAGAACAGGATGAAGGGAGAAGCTTCAGACACACAAGGTGCTTGAGGCCCTAGACTTGCAACCATCAGGGTCAAAAATGTCCTGTGACTAACTCAAACCAACATCTCCCCCACCTCTAGAGCCAACCCATACTGGTCTGAAAGCCACACGTGCCCATCTGCCACTCAGGAGAGGACTGGGGTAACTGGGCTGGGAGGGAGCTTGCTTTTCCCAAGCTACAGCTCAGTGAGGATGGAGCTGAGAGGATGCAGGGATGAGGCACACAGAAAGGGGAGACCTTTAGTCCCTAAATCCGTGTGGAAACAGAAACACCTGTGGAGCTCCCTGCTCACCCAGTGCCCTGTTTGGTGTGGTGTGGGGGGCTCCTCCGTGCCTGAGCCCAGCACATTTCTCACGGGCTGCCCAGGTCTGTTCTTCTCCATCGGGGAGCTGTGGAGGACGACGCGCAGGTTCACCGTGTCCAGCATGCGCAACCTCGGCATGGGCAAGCAGATGATAGAAGGCAGAATCTTCGAGGAGCTCCACTTCCTCATCGAGATGATCAAATCCTTCAAAGGTGAGCTGGGGGCCAGGCTGGGGCTGCCCAGCCTCGTGTGTGTCACAGCTGCTCCACGTCTCACAGCTTTCCCACCCTGCTCCCGCTGCAGGGGAACCTTTCAGCCTGCCCTCCTTCAACTGCGCTCCCATCAACGTCACCTTCGTCATGCTCTTTGGGGACAGGTTTGACTACAAGGACCCAACCTTTCTCACTCTCTTAAGACTCATAGACGAAATTATGATTCTTCTGGGATCCCCAAAACGTGAGTAAACTGTCCTGTCCCACAGGTAATTTTTTTGCATGAGCCACACCAACCATAGGGTTTACTTCAGCAGTTTTCAAATGTTCAGAGCCAGCCATTACACCTAAAACATGACAGTTCTCCATGTGCCACTTGGGTCACCAAAATCTGCTGCCAGATTCCCCTTACCTACTTTCCTTTTGACCCATCCTGCACATCTGTGTGGAGTTAAAATGAGATCTGAACTGTGGTTACTTTAGCTTATGAAAATCTGCCTGGGAAGTCCCTGGGATGCTGAGCTATTGCTACTAAAGACAAAACTCAACTGATTCGTTGGCCCTTAGGAAAAAAGCTGTTTCAGCATGTGCCAAGGGGATTCTCTGTGATTCTGTGTGGTATTTCTGCAGGCCTAATGCTTCTCTTTTTAAATTTCTCATTAGTATTTCAATTTCTACCCATTCCTTGGATTTCTTTTCAAAACCCACAAGATTATGCTCAAGAAAATCGAAGATGTGCGTGCCATTTTAAGGCAATATATGAAGGCAAGCAGGGAGGATATCAATGAGAACAGTGTGAGGAGCTACATCGATGCACTGATATTCAAGCAACAAGAGGTACTGGACTGCTTAGCTCTGTTGGCTGTTTGCAATGTCTCCTTTGGATTTTCTAGCTAAAAGAGTTGCTGAGTCTTGATTTCAGTCATGTTGTTTAAATCTATTGAAACCCATGCTGTTATTTCAGTGGTACTTAAATCAGATGCGAGACTCTTACAATTGGAACATTTTTCTATCAAAATTAAGACACAAAAGCTACTCTCAGTCCACTCCTGAAATCGTAGCACTAATAATGTGAGATCAACTGCTCTCTCCTAGTAGAAAATGCATGAATTCACATGAAAGCTGACTCTGCCTTTCTTTTTATGAAAACAAATCAATTAATCATTTATACTGTTGCTCCATCAAGATGAATGAGCCCCTTAAAGCACTTGAATGATAAATCATCAGTACAAGTCCTAACCCTGCCCTGCATCTTACTTAGCAGAGGCTCGGCAGTTTCACACATCAGTTGGTTTCATTCAACACAAAATATTTGGGCTCTGAGCTTTTTCTTTCCAGCTGGATCCAGGCTGACCTTAGGCACTAAGTATTCTACTCAGCTGTGTGGAGGAGGAGTTATCACAGTTCTAAAGCCCAGGCAGAAATGGCCTGAAAGGTAATTTTGAGCATTGTTGGGAATTCAAACCCAGCCTTGGGCAGGAGGAGTCCCTCAGAGACAGGATTAGCTGAATCTGCTTCTGTTCAGGGCAGAGACCAGGCTCTTTTCAAACCTGCAAGGCTGAGTCTGTGAGCAGCAGCTGGCTCTGGGTTTCAGCCTGCTTCCAGGGGAGATGGATGTTGAACCAAAACTCCCCTCTGGACCTTCCATCTGTGGTGTTCCATCTCTGGTGGAAGCTGTGCATTCAAGATCAGGTCTATTTTATCACCCAGTTCACAAACACAAGACCACAGCCAGCTGTGCTGTAGGTTATGCAGCGTTTCCTGAGCTTGCTGAATACTCAGACTGATGGTTTTATGACTTTTCTTACCTCTTGTGTTTTTCAAGGAGAAGAACAAGAAAGACAGCCTCTTCCATGATGACAACTTAATGGCATCCATACTTGACCTGGTCATGGCTGGAACAGAGACCATTGCCACCACGCTCCAGTGGTCCATCCTGCTCATGATGAAATACCCAGAGATTCAAAGTGAGCAGCTGTTACCTACTCCATCCATGAGTATGGGCTGAAATGGGGAAGGAAGAGGCCCGTCCTCAGATCCACAGCAGCTCTTTTGCCTGAGGAGCTGAATCCTAGCTCTCCTCTGTGATGAGCTCCTAATGTAACTAGGTGCTGATCAAAGTCACAATAAAATAGCCTTTTTGACTTGCTAGGAGAGAGGATGAGTGGAGATCAGAGTATGATGCTGCAGGAACCCACATGTCTGAATTAAACACACAGCAGGGAAACCCACACTGCTGCTTTAAGAATCCTCTCTCTCTTCAAACTCAGGAAAAATGGGGTTTTTTTCCCCTAAACCAAATCCAAGGAGGGAGTTGGCTTCCTTGCTGGGACACATCCCTTTTGTTTGTTCCTTCCAGAAAAGGTGCAGGAGGAGATTGGGAGAACGGTCAAAGCTGGGAGCTGGGCCACGTACGAGGACAGGAAGAACATGCCCTACACCAACGCCGTGCTGCACGAGGTGCAGAGGTTCATCACCCTCCTGCCACACGTGCCCCGCTGCACTGCTGTGGACACCCACTTCAGGGGCTACTTCCTTCCCAAGGTAGGTATCTGCTGCCTCCCAGGAGCACAAAACCCTCCCCAGATTCGCCAGTGCCACTGGAGAATGGTTTCTTAGAGGGAATTACACGACAGAGTCCAAAACCATCCCCAGAAGGGTTTCTGTACTGAGCCCAGAGTTGTCATAGGACTCAATGCAGTTTCTCTCATGCTCAGGACTTCCTCACTCCATGAGCAGCCCTGTGGTTTACCTCCTTGCTGCCATCTGCACAGTGAAGTATCTGCCAGAGAATTGCAGGATCTTACCTTCCACTTGAGGTTTTCACAGCACCATGTGGGGTTTGGCTTCAGTCCTTGGCACTAGTGGGAAAATCTCACTGATGTCTCTCCGCTGGATGATGGGATAAAACCCTCATGGTCTCCACCTGCCACAGGTGGAGCAAATCTGGGACACCAAAGTCTGTGTGAGAAAATGAACCAAAACAGCACTTGGCAATCATTTGTGCCTTTGTGTGCTTTTCTTCCAGGGTATTATTGTAATCCCATCCCTTACCTCAGTGCTGCTGGATAAGACACAATGGGAGACACCACATCAGTTCAACCCCAACCACTTTCTCGATGCTGAAGGGAATTTTGTAAAGAAAGGAGCTTTCCTGCCTTTCTCCACAGGTAACTAGAGGGCTGACCTGCACAGAGCTGGGGCTGTGGCAGGGCCACTTAATTACAAGACACACTAATGAGTCTTCATGTGTAAACACTGCCCTTAACTCAGTCAATGAGCAACCAGACAACTGAATGGAATCAATTGTTCTGCATCTGGGCAAATGGGGGCTGCCAGAGCACAGCTCTCCCACTGCTAAATATAGCACAAAGAAGGGTAGTAAAAAGAAACACACTCTTATCTGAAAGTGGTATATGAGGATAAATTGCACAGGAAAAGTGAGTTTCAAACTATTCCACTTTGGAAGGAGGTGGCATTCTTCTATCAGGCTGCTTTCCAAAAGAAAGGGTTAAAGATGATGAGAGGGTTGGAAGAGCTTAGGAGAGGAGAGAGCACAGCATAAATGTGCAATAACCCTGCAAGATGGCTGTAGCCTGTGACAAAAGAGAACCTTTAGCAACACAGGCCCCTCTACTCCAAAATGCTTTAGTGCATTTCGAGGTTTCCCTCCTGCTCCCATTGCAACATCTCAGATTCTAACGTGTCCATGGCAAACATTCCAGCTGGATTCTTCCATGAGCACTCTGCTTTCACCCGCAGGGCGACGGAACTGCATCGGGGAAAGCCTGGCCAAGATGGAGCTGTTTGTCTTCTTTGTAGGGCTGCTCCAAACGTTCACTTTCCGACCCCAGCCAGGAGTTTCAGAGTCTGACTTGGACCTCACCGTCCCCCAAACGACTTTCACATTGAGGCCTCAGCCTCAGGCAACCTGCGCTGTCCTGCGGGAATAACCACGGCCTTGTCCCAGAGCTTTGGGGTCCAAGACCCCAACTTTGCTCACACTCCCATTCCCCCACCCTGCCACACCACCACATCCCCTTCCCACTGCCTCCATCCCCCCCTCCACTGCTCCATCCCCCCAAGGGCTGCTCTTTGCTCCTGTGCTCTGGGGGAGATGCAAACACAAACCATGGTGCTGGCATCACACCCCGCTGCTCAAGACGTGCATGGAGCTGGTGAAGGGACCAAGCTGCTGCTCTGGTGGAGGGGATGCAGCCCATGAGCAGCAGGGGAACACCCAGGCTCCCAAGGTTCACCATGTCACAGAAATCTGCCTGGAATCCTGAGGAAGAACAACCCATGGTTTACTGGAAGCCACAGACCTGGGTCACAGTCTTGAGCCATCCATAGGCACCTCCTGGGCTTTTCCACAGCTCACAGCAAAATCCTACCAGGATTTCACCCACTAGGCAGCCAAGCCAAACACTGAGAGTGAAAAAAGTGATGGGTCCATGTGATTTGAGGACTAAGTCATTGGAACAGTGTCCTGGAAGATGCCCCAGAGGCTGCAAACCTGTTCAGAGAAGCAAGTGCTGCAACCAAGCTCAACACTGCTCCCCAGTCGGAACAAAACAGGAGCTGCATTCCTAAGTTTGCAATTTAAATCATGAGGCCACATGAGATTTGCACCAGCATCCGGTCATAAAGGGCTAATGGCACAAAAATAAACTACACCCACTGTTAGTTTTACACTTCTCTGTCCTTCCTGACCTCGTTAAAAGCAGAGCATTCCCTCTCTTCAGATATCCTGGTTAATGTTAAGAGCCTAACCAGCAGTCATTTGGTGTTTGGGATGGTCTGGCCTTTGGAACCAGCCATGCAATTCCACTGCAAATGCAGTCTAATTTCACAGTGCTTGTTTTGCACACACACATGCACAGAGAGTGGGGATCAGGGATTAAATGAGAGCTGGTTTTGCTTGGCTTGCTTTCCTCTGTAGCTCAGCCTGGCTGTTGTCTCTATCTCACTCTTACATGCCATCATATTCCACAACCTAATTCCAGCTAAAGCAATTTTCCATCCATTTATCTGCCTGTGACTTCCCACTCCTCCACAAGCATTTCCTTATCATGTGCTTTATCATATTGTTTGTTTCCCCTTCATGGGAACCCAATAAAGTTTTAATCCCATGTCCTCATTACATTTCCTATGCCTGGCACCCAACTTTGCAGCATACAGAAATGCAAACACCACGAAAGGTTGGTCCTGAGCCCAGAGTGACAACAGATAAAATGTTAGATGTATCCCATGGGTGAGAAGTTTTGCATATGCTCATCCTGGTAAACATCAGCTCAACTGCAAACCATCCATACCTGCAGGGTGGTTTCACCAGGGCAAATTCCTCAGCTTTGGGCTGTGAGTCAGCCCTGGGGACAGCCTCAGTTCTTCACTTCTGTGCCTCCTGCTTGCAGAGGCTGAATTAAAGGTTTTCACCATAGCCTCCCTGCTGCTGCTGCTGGCCCTCTGCTTAGTGCTTGGATGGGAAGGCAAGGACAGACAGGTAAAGGAACTGGGGAGCAAACCAGATATCAGCTCCGTGCAGGAAGTCTTGATCTGGCTGAAATAAAATAACACTTTTGCCTTTGCCTTCAGAAAGGCCAGGACTGTTCCAGTTTTAACCCCTCCAAAATAACATGAACTGAAAAGGTAGATAAAGCAGCAGTGTAGTGCTCTAGGAAACAACACTGAGCTGGGCTCAACTCTGCACAAATTCACTGCTGGACCCCCAGACCTGCCCCTTGCCATGGGCTCTGGGGTTCTTGGCTTTGAAGCAGAGAGATGGAGCCCTTCCTCCACGGCACAGCAGCCTCCAGAGCTGCAAACATCCAAGGAAAACAGGTTCCTTGGATTCCTTTGAAAAGTGCATCCTGCTTGTGCCTGTGTCAGCAGATGGACAGGAGTGATCCCTCCCAAGCACACTGAATTGCACAGCTGAATATATCTCCACAAAATAAAGTGCCTGTCTCCTGTTTATTTGCTCAGCCAAGCGATGGCAGAACATTGATTATGACTCAGCTATCTATTTATCTAGCAGAAAACATTGGCTCTCAGAGGTGGAAATGCCATTTCCACATTCCTCAGCGGCCCTGAGGGTCTTCCCTGTAGCTGCAAAACATGTTTGTGCCTTGCAACTCTCACCTGGATTGAAGGCAAACACCTTGGGGCAGGACAGGTGCCTGGATGTTTAGAGTCAGAGCTGAACAACACCAGCTCACTTTGTGGCTCAGGGCACTGGCAGCTGTCCCGTCCCCAGCCTGTCACCCCCAGGGCTGTGTGATGCTGGCACCAGGGGCTCCTGCCCTGAGAGGGGCAAGGATCAGGGGCAGGGATTGCAGCAACTCCACCTGCATCCCTCTGCATGGCCGGAGCAAAGAGCATCACACGCAATCTCATTTCTACTTTATTTTTGCCACGAGATGGCACCACGATCCCTCCTCCGAGGCACAGCCCTGTGCTCCTAACCGGGCCAGAACAAATCCGGGCTGGGGATTTGTGCAGCCCTGCCAGCACAAGTCCGGGCTGGGGAAGGAGTCAGGACTAAGTCTGCAGGGTTCATGCCCCGCTCAGTCCGACTGCACTCACCTGCTGCAAGGCTGGGAGCAAAGACACTCATTTCCCATTGACCTGGCAGAATCAGGTGTGTGCAGGGGATGGCTGGGGTTAAATTCATCTGGCATCTCCCATTTTCCCTGTTTTATCTGCAGCACAGGGGTGAGCAGGGGCATCCCTGCCCTGCCCCACAGCACATGCCATGTGGGGATGTTGCAAGCTCCTGGCCTGCCCACTCAGCATTCCTCCCTTCGGGCTGTGTCTGGCAGCCAACTTCTTCCTCTGAAGAACCAATTCCTGGGCCTGCACCTGCCAGTAGGACCCTTCATTAGTGAAAATACCCAGTTCACTGGAATTACTGACTAATCTGCGACCTGGCCCCAACCCAGCAGGGCGGGGGAAACCCAGAGGTGCAGTGGGGTGTTCCAAAGCACACGGACACAGCACACGAGGACACGGTGGTGCTGCTGGGTTGATGGTTACACTTCATTATCTTGAAGGTCTTTTCCAACCTAAACAATCCTGTGATTAAGCTACAACAGTCGCTGGCTGTTCCCCAGTGATGGAGCAGAGGAGAGACGTGGGCCAGGCTCCCTTGCTGCCCAGCTGCTCTCCACTGGCAGAGGCAAGGTCCTGGCAGGGCAGAGGCAGAGGCAAGGTCCTGGCAGGGCAGAGGCAGCGCTGCTCTGCAGGGAGGGAAGGAAACAAGGAACAGACTCCAGGCTATGAGCTGAGCTGTGGGAAAAGGGAAGTGTGCCTAGCCCTGAGGTCACACTGGCACTGGACTGCGCCCAGAGGAGATGAGGGGTTAGGGAACTGGTTCTTCCCCTCCAAAAGCCCTGTGCTTGGGGCTGGCTCACTCCTGGTGCTTTTTGCCCTGTGGATCACTGGTGAGCTGCACCCCCCCATCCGGAGGGCAGCAAGTGCCCTGGGGGTGAAGCAGCCTTGAAAGGGGGTGTCACTGAGGTGCACCAGGAACTTGTGGCAGCAGAGGGATGGATCTCCACACCCCATGGAAATGCCATCTAGACAAGTCTTTGGGAAATGCCATCTCAAAGGCAGGGGAGCAGCCAGGGCCAAGAACTCGGTCTCTGTGTCACCCTTTAGTGCAGGGACAGTGGTAAAACACCTGTGAATGCCAGCTCCTGCTGAATGTGGGCTGGAACACCCCAGGACAGGAGGTCTGCAGCCCCTGGGGTAGAGAACAACCTCTCAGATGCTTTGATCTTGAATGGCAGCGTTCAGTGCTTGGATGGAGGTGGACAGCACACAGATTTTGGATGCTCTAGCACACGTGAGAGCCTATGAAGCTTTTACAGGTGAGCATCACTTACAAAGTCACTGCAGGATACTTCAGCACACTGTGCAAGCAAAGGAAAACCTTGCTTTGAATCTGGGGCTCCTTCAGCAGCAGCAGCAGGAGGCCCCATTGCAATGCTGTGGATGCTGTTTGAGTGCCAGCCACGAGCAAGGTGGGCACAGCAGCATCCTGATCTGCAGAAAGAAAACATATATGGCTTTTATTAGGGATAGATGAAGGAAAAAAGCACTTCTAGGATAAAAAAAAAAAAGAGAACTAGGACAGGTAACCCAGGTTCCAGAGACATTACTGTGGGATGCAGGTGAGTGACAGGTGACAAGTTGCATCATATTGACATTTCAGCACAGAATTCCTTCAGTTTTCAGAAGAAATATTTGCACACTTGAGATTTTGCCACCCCAAAATGAACCAATTGCACAAATTCATCCATTTTTCAACACCACAAGGCATTTTTCTGCTCTAGGCAGTGAGTATATGACCAGCTCAGGACTTCCAACCACTACCTGAGGTTCCTGAGAAGAACCTCAGGTGGTTCCTGAGAAGGCAGAAATTTGATGAGAGGTGCAGAATACCTAAGTGGAGGAGCTGGAATTTGTCTGTGTGTGTGCCAGGCCCTTCTAGGAGCCACAGGAGAGCCATGAAAACCCAGGACACCCTTGACACATCAGCTCCATTTTCCTGCTTCCTGCTGCTGGTGGGAAACCCTTTCCAGTCCCACTGCCCGTCCCAGGAATGCGGATGCAGACACTTGGAGGAAAAGGGCAAACACAGGCTGATCCAGACTCCCACACAAGTGCTCCTGTTGTGAAATCCACCACGTGGGAGCTGGTGAGGGGTTTGCACAAATGCCAGAGGAATTTCCCATCTCTGTAACTCTGCTGCCTCTCGCCATGCCCGTAGGGAGGGATGCGCCTGCCTGGGGAGAGCTGGAGCGGTGACATTGCCTCTCTCTCTCACTCTCCAGCAGGAATGGACTGTAGCTGACAGCTGATGACAACATTTGTCTTGCTTTTCCTTCAGCATGAAGTATTGAGTGTACTAAAATAGGAGGATGGTTGCCCAAAATTTAAATATTTCCAT